CTTTGGCCACAAATTTGACGGGGCATTTTTTCTTTCCGCATCGAGTGCTGGAGTTGCCTGAGCTGAATGTTTCACACAGCAGCTTCTGTAGACGGAGTGACATTGTTGTTATGCAAATAGCTGCGCAAAGTACGGTTCTAGCGGCACAGAATATATTACAAAGGGTTCCTATTTTTCCTACAAATCTGCACCGAGGCAGCTTAAAAGAGTAGAAGCTGTCTCGAAACGCTGCCCTCGAGAGCATAGTTCACACTCTGCAGAGTTAACACTTGCAGAAGCAAACAGTCTTTGAAGAGATGATCTGCCTTTCTACTGACAGCTACATATCAGGGCCACATCCTGCGCTGGGACTCTTTATTAGCAGCTTGAATAGCAGAGCGCTGCCATCGCTGAGACTACAGACCCGAACCAAAAGCATGATTTTTAAAGGTTACAGAACAGGCTAAACATGCTAACATTAATTAAACTTCAAAATTAACTCTCTCTAAGCATTACAGCACAGGTTGAGCTGGAACAGACTGAGTGCAACAACACTGCTGCTGCTGCTGCTGCTGATGCTGATGGGCACATTTTCTCTGCCTCCATTCAGTAATTTTGTCAGTGACCATGAAATTGGTAAATGCATTGTGCCCACTTGAACGTTTAAAAATAATACTAGCTGTTCATCTGAGTGAGTTATATTATTTCTGTAAGGTACATTTATTTCCATCATTTTTTCCTGCCACATTTATGTGTTCATCCAGTTATAACAGTTATTATGTAGGTAAGGCCTTCAAAACAAAGCACGAAATAAACAACATTAATCAGGACGATGGCAGCGAGTCATTTAATATTCAGTAGACTGATACCGTTTTCCTAGATAGTAGACACTCACAGTATTTAGCTAGTCAAGGAGCACTACGACAAAGTCTTCAGTGACACTTAATGATTACCGACCACCGCAAGCCAGGATGACTTAGGATAGAGTTTCTGTATTTCAGTGGCATATGTAACAGACACTTTTATGGTAAAAACAAACAAACAAAAAACTAGTCAGTTAAGAAAAAAAAGTCTATCTCACAAAAACAGAGCAAATTTCTGTCAAAGAATGAATGAATTCTGATTTTACACAAGTCATGTATTTATTTATGTATTTAGTTTTGGCTTTTTCATAGAATAGAATAGAATAGAATAGAATAGGAATAAGAATAGAATAGAATAGAATAGAATAGAATAGAATAGAATATTTTTTTATTGATCCCTCATTGGGGGAAATTTACATGCCACAGCAGCATCCATAAAATATAGAAAAGAAGTGTTAGGAAATAACAATAATTAGGTAATAAAAATGAGTATATACACAAGATGACAAAAATATGCAATAAAATGAAAAAAACATATACAATATTTACACTGGAAAAGAAGCAGACTTGTGCAAACTTGTGCAAACTTGCTGTGCATGAATTGATAATGAAGGATGTTTACATGTGTGAACACAATGCAATATCCTGTAATAAGAATAATATATATAATTATATCATTCACAATACAAATAGAGATACGCTACTGATGAAAAAGACATTGATTTTACATTTTTGTTTTGAAAATTTCTGTAATTATACAAAATATCTCTCATTTAACAAAAGAACCAATACTAATAGAACTAGTACTAATAGAAATAAATATATTTATGGCATTCAAGTTGAATTTAACAGTTTAATCTATTTAATATAAAGGATTTCTTGAAGTCTGAAATAGAAATTTTTAGGTTACTCACAGTTACAGGTTTTTAATAATGTTTTACATTGGACATGCAAATTCACACTTTATTTTTCTAATTGAATTGATATTTTTGTGAATTTCCCAAAAAAAAAAAATCTGTAAAATAATAAGCAAAAGTAGTGCGTACTCTGTTTTAGTTCTGCTCAGACAAACTGCTTTTACTGAAGCGCATATTATTCATTCGATAACTTTGACTGCGTGCATCTAAATGGGAGATGGACTGAGGATTTAACTAATCTCCTGCTTGTGTTCACAGTAGCAGTAAAAGCTGCATGTTATTTGCACAGACATGGAGGAGTTGAGCTCAGTTAAGCTCGCTGTTCACCTTTTCCTTCCGACTACATAAAGACATAAACAAAGGAGGGATTTTCTGACTTGGGTTAAATATTCTCTGCTTCCTACTTATATTTCCCCAGTATCCCCCTCAGGCGACTCTGTTTTTGTGACACTTCATCGCACATGACAACAGGTTGGCATTTTCTTGGTCTCGCACCCTTTGTTTTGTCACCTGCGTCCGCTTGATATTTTGCCGATTTGCCCTGAACTTCACTTTGCTGGATTCGGAGAGGGGCTGCACTTTGGGCTGCAGCAAAACTTTGGTGTCAAGTAGTTCTCTGTGTTTTTATGTGGCTTTTTAAAAAAAGCAGAAACATTCAACCAACCATTTCTTGAGAAGGTGAGTTTGCCAGTTCAGTTTTCACATGTTTTTGTCGATGTGTTAATCTACCTACACAAGAGGCTGATGTAAATACTTGCCCTCCAACACAGATCTGTCACTGCTTTGATGTGGCGCCGGGGATTGTGCTGAATGCTGTGCTGCTGGAAGCACAACAATCACACCTAAAGCTCATTTCTTTCCAGCAGATTTCTCAAAATCTGCAGCAGAGTGTTTTGTCATCGTTACAGAATCCTGTCTTTAATTAGAAGGAGGGGACAGTAACGGAGCTAGATGATGTTTTCTAAATCAAAACTCAAATTTTCAAAGTTGCATTTGGATTTGAAGTGCTTATAGGAATATAATGAGATATTTACACAGTCACAGCCAGTTTAGACAATCAAGTAAACAGCAGTCACAGTCAGTGAACAACAAGAACTTCTCAAGTATTTTGACAAATACATTTTTAATAACTTAGTCAGATAATATTGGAAAACACATAATAATTTAATCTGTGAGTGCTCAGTAGAGAGATTGGTCCAGAATGTGTTTATATTCACATCAGCCCCATTGTTATTTTACTTCTACTAAAACACAGTGCAAATTACTAAAACAAATTACAGCATTATCTGTAGAAGGTTTTATTTAAAGAGAGGCTACTCAGGCATGCAAAAAAAAGCAAGTGTGCAGAAACTTAATAATGGCGACAGGACCTGCTTCTGAGGAGTTCAAGGACGGTCAGTCGGTGATTTGATCAGCTGATGTTTCCAACGCTGATAAATGATGTCATTTCACGGATTTTTTAAGCATAACATTCCAAACATGCTGGCAGTTTTTGCTGTTTACAGGGTTAACTGATGTCAATTAACAATTAAAAATGACTTGAAAGGGTTAAGGTTAGAGATGATATATGATACATGGCAATAAACAATCCAGTGAAACGATACACAAATAAGATTGAACAACATGGGGGAAAAAAATCAGTGCATTTATTGCAGTTTTTGCTCCCCAAAACAAACAATGGTTGTTCAATGTGATTTGTAGGTTGTTACATCTCTGTAGCACCGTAATGTTTCGTTTAAAGTGACGTATTGTGACACATTTTACCTTCACTGATGAGTTTTGAGTTGGATTTGGATGTTGTACGTGGCCATGTTGAAATTTCAAATAGTTATTTCAATTAATTGTTCAGCCCTACTAGTATATACTGATACTATTAATTAAACATACTGGATCCATCCATCCACTAGCTATACACCACTTAATCCTCATTAGGGTTGCAGGGGGCTGGAGTCTCAGTCTCCCAGCTGGCTTAGGGTGAAGGCAGGGGACACCCTGGACAGGTCACCAGTCTATCACAGGGCTACACTTGGAGACAGACAACCAAGCACACTCATATTCACACGTACGGACAATTTAGAATCATCAGTTAACCTCAACATGTTTTTGGACTGTAGGTGGAAGAACCCAGAGAGAACATGCAAACTCCATGCAGAAAGGTCCCAGTTCCCCCACCGTGACGCGAACCGGCGACCTTGTGGTTGCGAGGCAACAGTGCTAACCATAGTGCAGCCCATACTGGATCCAGATACATTAAAAAAAAAGAAAAGAAAAAAAAGGGACACACTGTTGCACTGTGTGATGGATTTGTTGTATCGCTCATAAAGCTCTCTTTCGTCAATTTGTGATATTAGACAATAAAATAGAAAAACATAGCAGCGAACATGCATGGAGCTGAGAGCTATGAGTTCAGGGAAGTTAGGAAAGTAGTGACAGATTGATTGTTGTGCTCTTTTTATGGCATTTGTTGACTTAAAAAAAAAAAACTGTTGAGACCAATTTTGTCTCTAAAGGAGTCTGCCTGCTGTACAAATGTTATGTTATGTCAGTTTTCATGTGCTACATGACCCCTGGCAGCTCTCCTTCCCGCACAGAGGTTGTGCCCTTCTCGCGTTGGTGGAGGTGAGATGGTTTGTGACATATTTCAGCCTTGGCGTGGCATTGCTGCTTCTTCCTGTAATCAGAGCAGCTGATGGATGGCGACGGGGTTGCTGCTCAAGGAGACAGTGCAGGGCGACGCCATCCTTTACCATTTCCCCACGTTGTCACATGAAGCGTCTCGCTTTAGCCGTGTGTGCCGGTGACACACGTGAGCACCTCATCCATTATTGTCTGCACTTGAGCAAAGATGCAAAGCTGTCGGTGCTGTTGCTCAGGCTTGTGTTTTTATACCATGGGATATTATTCTTGTCGTCTTCGCCTGTGTACTCACAATTTCTCTAACACACACACACACACACATATATATGCAGCATTGTGAAAAAGCCTGACCTCAAATCAGATAGAGTGCATCGTGAACAAGCATTATTAGATGTCGGATGGTGAAGGGGAAGCATAATACGAGCTCTTTTCTTGTTGAGGCTTTGATTTTAGACATCATGAATTTTAAGCATGTTGACTTTACTGCGCAGGAGAATCTAAAAAAAAAAAACAAGCATTTTAAAGAGTTGCCAGAAAACATCAAACACAAATTTGTTTTAAGACATGAAACGATGACGAAGTGCGTCTTCTCCTGCACCTCCAGTCTGAACCCGTACAGCTACGATGAGAGCTGCGTGTCCAGCAGCGTGGACCACCTGCCCCTGGCCGCCCTCCCCCTCCTCGCCATCGTCTCCCCGCGCTACCAGGATGCCGTGGCGACCGTCATCGACCGGGCCAATCAGGTCTACCGCAGCTTCCTGCAGTCGGAAGACGGCCAGGGATTCACGGGTCAGGTCGGTTGTGGCTTCTTCTATCTAGAATGGAGGGGGAGAGGGGAGGGGGGGGCTCTCATCACTGAATAATGGGCTGTCAGTGAAGCAAAGATTGCTTTTGATTGGGCTGCATAATCTGTGGAGACTGTGGGGAGCTCAGGCCCTCAGAGGACTCCGGAGCTCTATTGTTTAAGTGGAGCACATTTTCTTCTCTTGTACATAACAGCTACTTGGCTCTTGGTAACAAGCTGCATTTCATAATGAGGCAATGATGTGTGAGAGGACTGCTCACAGCAGAGTTGAATTTAGGCGTCGGATACACAAGACATGGTCTAAATATAACTTAAAAGTCAGGTCAACAAGTGTGACGGCTTCGTCCAACGCTGGATGTTGTTATTTTTCTGTGGTGAATATATTATTTTACCCTTAGGCAGCTGTGGTGTGATTTTGAGCCAGTGGTCAATAACATCTTAATTAGACAGACAGTAACAAGAAAGAACACAACAATCAGGCCCGTTATGTTAAAGGTGATTACAACAATGTCCATTATTCCTTGATGTTTGCTGTTGTATGTAGATACTGTATGCAAAGCTCCTCGTCTTAGTGTCTACAAATTTCCTCCCTATTTTCTGTACGAATTACACTCCTAACAGGAAACGTTATTCTAATTAGCTGTTTAGATTTTGTTTCAAGACTTCATATTTTTAATTACACAGTGTGGATTGACACTTCACAGAAAAGCAGCGATCTAATTTCATACGACAGACTAACTGTAAGCAGGTTGCATGTCATGTGGAGCATACTAAAATAAGCATGCATGCTAATAATGCAATAATACAGCGTCAGCAGAGTGACAAGAACAAGGAAACCTTGCACATTTGCTCTCCCCGTAGTCACACCGGATCTATTAAGCGGTTGTTCAGCAAGAGAAAGCACATTCACTTCAGCGTTGTTGTACAATGTAGAACGTTGAAACCATAAAGAAAATCCTGAAATAAGCAGGTTTTTTTGAGTTTTTAATTGACTAGCTAACTGGATTTTGCCCATTTTAAAGTAACTAAAAAGAGTGAATATCTGTTAAAGGACAACTTGCATGCTGGATTTACACTTTATGCTTCATGGAAATGTTCATTTGTGCAGCTGATGTGCAACTTTATGAGACACAGAGGCAGAAATTCAAAAGGAAAACAAAGGCATCCTGAGAAGCCTCCCAAGGGATTTCATTTGCTGCTGCGTCTGCCAGTGTTTGCGGTTATGCAGCTATTTCATCGGCAGACTGTTGACCCCACTGTAGCTCTGGTTAACAAGTGGAGGATATTTTAGTTGTCAGAAAATTCCCAATGCACCTGGCCCACAATTACCGCATGAAGGCTGATGCAGGACACATTTTTTTTCCACGCTCGGGTGCTCGTAATTAAACAATATGGGAACACAGCAGTAAAAATAATGTTTGGAGACGCTCGCTGCTGCAGAATGTTGCCATTAATTGTAAATAATGATAAAACAGTACAGTAAGAAAAGCTGAAAAAGTTTATAATCAGTACATACGATGTCCTGTTTAAATACAGTTTGGACACAGTGAACATTGTGCCCTCGTGTCTCACTCAAACATGTCATTTTCTAATTTTTCAAACTCTGCTCCTACACCGATCCAATTATCCTCCCGCCGAGGCTTTCACCGACTGAAAGCACCGTACGCACAGGCTTTCTAAATCCTACATTTTCCGAGCAGGTATGCCTGATGGGCGACTGTGTGGGAGGTGTGCTCTGCTTCGACGCTTTGTGCTTCAGTAACCACCAGAGGCCTGGCAGCCCCAACAACAGCAGCAGGAACAACAGCACCGAGAGCCTGAAGGTAGGAGCTCGGGGAGAACACCGTGATGCTACACGAGGCTGAGCGGGGACCGTTCACAGCTGCTGAAAGGAAATCTTACTGGCGATACGCAATTGAGCACACAATCGAGATTACATGCCTGCTTTGCACCTTGTTGTCAACAGTGGAGTTAATTACTGCGAGTGCGCGCATGTTCACCCGTGGCAATGTCCTTGTCATCCCCAGTAAACAAGCATATACACAAAATTTAGCTATTTCTATTTTTAGTGAGTTTTTTTTTTCCTGTGCAACACCTCTAGGTAGATGTGGCTTTTATTTATGTCACTGTGGCAGTGTCCTTGATGCTGTGTTTTTCTGCAGTCTCCTACATGAATGCTGTAAATAAGCGACTAGTCACAGTGGAAGTTAATCTTATTTTCAGAGGTTGATTTTCGAGGAATCTGGATTATGCTGATTTTTATTTTTTTTAAGTAGTTCCCGTTGTGTTCATGTCGCATATTCATCATAACATTTGTGCTGCTGAAGAAGCTTATCTTCTGTCCTTCTCCTTCTTCTAATGCATAATCCCCACTTCCTATCTCTGACTCCCTCCTTCCCTTTGCAATTCAAATCACATCTAATAGATTCGGACGCAGTTTTTTTCCCCCCTCCCACGTTCAACTGGGAGAATGCATCAACTTCCATCATATTGTGTGCAGTTTCCTGATGCTGTCGTGACTGCAGGTTTTTTTTTTTTTTTATACCAAGTTCTCCTCCTCCTTTCTCTCAGGATAACTCGGGTCTCCTGGGTGATTCCAGCTCAGGTTTGAGCTCCAGCAAGAGGCTGAGCAAAAGCAACATCGACATCTCAGTGCCCAACGAGGGCCAGGGAGGCCCGCCGCTCAGCCGGAAGCAGAGCGACTCGTACGACGGAGACACTTCGTCCACGGGGCAGCACAGCTTCTTCTCCAGGTGGAGCAGCATGCATGAATAGAACCCACATACAAGAATGATCCATATGATGATGTATAAAGATCTGTTTTAAGCATTTTAAATATATCTTCAGTTAATATTTCTAGTGCGTTAGTATTCGATTGTAGGGGATGTTGTAAATGACCAGGTCGGATCGGTTTTTCAGGTGTAGCTGCTGGATTAGCCAACAAAACAAATAATTACATATATTATATCTTGCTATATCATTACATTTACAGTGAAATAAGGTTTTATTCACATACACAGACTGTGTTTAGGGCCCTTCAGTGTCTCACAGGAGCTTCCTAACCTCTAAAACTAATCTCGCTGCTGTTCACTTTACACCCCACTGCACCTCAGATAACCTAAATCTGATCCAGACGCTGAACTTTATCCCCTAAGAATCTTCTAACCCCTTATACATACTGAGAAAGTCCCAATATACACAACATGCACAGTTAATAAACTGCAAATAAGAAAAGGCTTTGTTAAGCTCCCTATAAACTACAGCTTAGACAGATCAGCAAATAAAATATTGTGACGAGATCTTGCACGACTTCAATGCAAACCAGCATTTTTGTTATTGTTTCACGCACATAGTCATCCTTATACTTTAACACACATTCATGCATTTATACCTACTTTTACACCCACATGCAGCAAAGAAGCACACAAACACATGCATGCATCAAGAGAAAAACCTGAATTGCAATCAGACTCCAACATCAGTGTTTGGTGCACAAAGAGGGAGGCTCATACACAAATGGTGCGAAGGTGCAATCAAACAAATTCACAGTCCACCAAGTCGCCACGTCAATGTGGAAATAATATGTTGGTGCAGAAGTACGTTTAGTGTGAAGTGGGAGAGCCAGAAAAGAAAAAAAATCACTGATCATATAACATTTTTTCTTCATATTTTTTATTTTGAAGAAAAACCTCAAAACATGCATGTTATCGGTGGCGTTTGGCTGCTCTTTGTGGTCCTATATTTCATATTTATTGGTTCTCTTTTAAGCTATTTTATTTTGATTGTACAAGTTTTATATTGTCTTGCTGTTTCGCTGTCTATCTGATAACATGTACGACACTTTAGTCAGGTCAGGTTGTTTTTAATTGTGCCATATAAATTAATTTAATTTGATTAAATATAAATTGATACATACACAGCTCCATGCATCTGGAAATGTAAAAGCAACATCTGGGCTACATTTTGCTATATAACAAAACTCAGTTTAAATAAACGCTACAAAGGAGCAGATCAGACATCAGCGGTGGGTGTCAGAGATTCTGCCTGTTTCTGTCCATCAAGCAGCATTTGTCATTCAGTAATGCCTTTGTAATGGGTTCAAGTGATGACCCAGATGCTACACGTCGGCCTTCATCCAGGTTTTTCTGGAATGTGCCGCCCCGTCTCGCCCCTGCTTTTTATCAATATTTGCAGCTTGACTGGCCTGCCTGCCTACCTGTCTCTGCTGGACTATAAATAGCCTGTTTGTGCCAGTGCCAGCCACTTTGCGAGGGAAACCGAGCACTGCGGGTGAATTTAGCTGGGTCGGAGGGGGCTGGAGAGGGCCAAGGGCGGGTGTGGGGGGGGGGTTACAACTGCCATGTTGACTCATTTCAAACAACCAGTGTTCCCATCCTGAATCACACGCTCTACTCGGCTTAGTCGGCGAAGATAGGATCCCATCAATTCACAGCTGTGCCACACAGTTCAGGAGGGTGCACCTCTCACCTCTCACTTCTCGTTACAGTCCCGATTAAGCTCGAGCTCGGCTGTGTTGGACGGTAACCTCTACTCCTGGGTGTGCTCTTTTCCTCTGCAAATCCCAGTGGATATTCCCAGTCACCAGGAGGGCTTATTAAATCTCCTTTTTCGCAGCCTTCCCATCAGAATCCCCTCTCAGACAGCTTTCAATTTCCAATTCTACATGTTTCCTCATGAACCTTGGTCTGCTTTGGATCTGATTGCAAATTGCCCTTGAGATCAGGTGTGAATTTTTATAACTCTGCACTTGTGAAATCCTGGGAAGGTGTTCTCAGTGCAGCAAGTGCAAATGCATTTTACATTACTTCATTTTCTCCAATTTGGTTTTAGCTACAGAGAGTCATCGATGCTAATACAGACAGTAAGAGAACTAATTTCTTAGGTGAAGAAAAACACTTAAACATCTAAATGCACATAAATGTGTCAGCATGTACAGATTTATTTAGACTAAAATGCACGGGGGAAAAAGATTATGTATGTTACAGCTACTAACTAATGCTTAGGCAGGATTCTAGTAGCAACACTTAAGCTTAATATGGAGGCATCATCTATCGGTTGCTGCTGCAGTGAAAGGCTCGAGCTCATTATGTCTCATATAAACATGTCAACCATTTACAGAAGTGGAGAACATGCACATGAAAATCATCCCTACGGCACAATAAGCAACACCCAATGAATCATAAACAAATCCTGGCGCTGTTTTCTTGGAATACAGCAGATATTAGGAGGATGTTTTGCTGCAGTATCAAACAGGTGAACAACTAAAAAAAACTAAAGCGGCCGCGTTATCAGAGACAAAACGAAAAACAAAACAGAAAAGCAATCAAAGCACTATTGATTTGGCTTTTAAAGATGGCTGGAGACTGTTTGCTAATCCTTCCTCCCTGCGTAGGACTTAATGGGGAAATGTCAGCTCTCGACTCGGCAGACGCGTCTCGTCAGTCGGCAGCAGTGAGGGGTTTGTGCCGTTCAAACAGCTGTAAGGGCGAAGCAGCCTGAGCGGAGTGAAGAGCTGCTCGGGCTGAGTCATAAAGGCCTGCTGCTGACTACGACCCCTGAATGTTAAAACAAGCCAGCCTGCGTTTGAATCAGGACAAAGCAAAGGGATCGCTGACTCATCCGGGTGTCAAGACCGAGACAGTTTCCTTTTTAAGTTCAGCATACATATTATTGACATTTAGAATTGCACATTATCCCTACTTTTCTTTAAAATAGTGCTTTTTAAACCACAATCCTGTAGCATGGACATTCTCTTCTTCTGTTTTCATTACTTACATTGTCATATTCTTCATAGAAAGCAGTGATACAAAAAACACAATGCAACACAAATGTACTTCCCGTGGCACAATCAAATGAGTCTAACATGTCCACTTGTAATTCAGGTACATCCCAGTCATATACAGTGCTTAACAAATGTATTAGACCACCACCCAATGTAAGGTTTATGCCACAGCTACCCTAAATTACCAGCACTGGTAATTACCAAAACATTTTTTTATGTTTCTGTAACGGTTAATACACCGGTATGTAGAAGCTCTTGAACCAAAATTATATTTTTTATGCTAAAATATAAATATTATTGTTATCCAAATCCAAATTTACTGTTTTACAAAAAAAAAATAATAAAAAAGGACATTATTATTTCTTGATCAAGATGTCAAATTACCGCCATTTACTTGCATTCCTGAACAGAAAAATTACTTTTAGTGGTTGAATGTTATGCTTCAATAATTTCTGACTTCTCAGAGGTGGCTCAGATTTGGGTATAAAAAGGTGAATTCAGTTTGAAATTTCTCATTCTTGTTCAAAACGGTAAAACGTCGAGAGCTGAGTGCACATTAAAGCACTTCATGATGCTGAATGGTATATAGATATATATATATACATATACTATATATATATATAGCGATTAACAAATTAGATAGGTGGTCTAATAAATTTTTATTGCAGATTCAGTAATCACTTCCATAAAATGTTCATGTGCCTTCCAGCACACGCTGCCTTGGCTCCTCTGGCTTCACAGTTGCCATCCAATTTAGAAAAAAAAAACAAAAACAACAGTGAATTAGCATCTGTGAGCATGAAGACAGCCAACGGATGGCATATGTCTCAGAGAGCAGACAAAAACAGACCTTTGTGCTGGTAGCCCACAGCAGCAGGCAGTCAATAGGAAAACAAAGCAGCATAGAGTCAATTAAAGCAACATGTTGTGTTTTGTGTCCATGTCTGATTTCCAGTTTGATGAAGGAGAGTGTGGAGGTACGTGGAGGCAGCAGCACCAGTCTGGTGTTGAATCCGGGCAAGTTTGACTTTGAGGTGTCAGATTGCTTCCTGCTGGGCTGTCCGCTGGGCCTGGTGTTGGCCATGAGACGCACCGTGCTGCCCGCCGTTCAGGGTAAGAACCTGACACATGTAAAGCCTTTACATCGACTATAAAACGTATTCATCCCTCTTGAAAGTTTTTCAACACTGAATCTTGGTTAATGTACTTTGGCTTAGAATTTACCTGAAAAGACTCTTTAATGTGAAAGTAAAAACAGATTTGTACAATTTAATGTCATTTACTTTAAAATATAAAGTGACTGCATAAGTATTCACCCCTGTGGCCATAATGACAGCATTGGACCTGTGTGGATTGATCTCAGTTAGCCTTGCACATCTAGACACTTCAGTTTTTACACAGTTTTTCCACTGAAGCATCAAAAAAGCCAATTTCTACTGACCATGATTCAATGTCGAAAAGCAATAAAAGGGGAAAGCCTCCAAGTGCTACTTTTTGTACTCACTGTACAGCAACGTGCCCTCACAGATACAAAGAAAACATTTGTTTTGATGTTTTTCTGATTTTTTACCCGATAGTCTGCTCATTTAAAATTCACTTTGAACTTTACTAAACTCATAAGAAAGACAACAAATTACATCTAACTGATAGTCTGAAGTTTCAAATACGGCTGCAATGTGACACTGTTGGATGATCTCGTCATGTTCCTGGTTTTATTGGTTTTCTGTGAAAAGACTTTTTAACAGGGTCAGGCTGGTTTAAGCAGATTTTCTCTCTGAATTTATCACTCTGCTTTTCTGAAGGTTGTTTTTTTTGCTGGTTCAGGAAGAAAAAGGAAAGTTTTTTTTTTTGTACCCTACTTCTATTCCTCAGCGCAGTAAACTGTAAACAAGGTCATCTGATGGTGAGCACAGATCAGAGTCGGAGTTATTTATCTTCACCTGGAGTTTTGTTTTAGATCTGACTCAGCTACTCTTCAGACTAAAATCCCTGCTTGCCTTCCTAACCAGTTTTTGCTTGTCTGTTGTGTTTTCTGACCCTCAGTGAGCCAGCTTCATCCGGCCTGTTCTCAGATTTTCAACCTGTTTTACCCCTCGGATCCTTCAGCCTCCAGACTGGAGCCGCTGCTGCAGCCTCTCTTCCACAAGTTGCCCCCGTTCGCTGTGCCGCGCTACCAGCGCTACCCTCTCGGCGATGGACGCTCAATGCTCATAGGTAGGACGGTGATTAGATCCTTAAAAAATGTATTTATTCGTCAGGGGTAGGTGCTTCTCCTTAATATTTAATCTCTTAATCCATTTTCCGGTGTAATTGTGTTGCCATATTAATAACCTTTGCATTTCAAAGCAGGTGTGAAACCTTTAAGGAATTCTCTAAGTGGGACCAGATCACAGTGTGACTTAGTAATGTGAATTTTGACAGGCTCACATGTCCACAGATATGGATGCAGGGACGCACATAGTCTCGATTCCATCTTTGTGTGTTTTTGTCCTGCGGAGGCTGAACTAAAATTTGCCCCCGAAGCGTAAAGTTTGAAGTAATTATACTTGATCTTCTTGTGGTGCAGTACCTTTAGCCTGACACCGCTCTCTGCGGATCAGGCACAGTATGTGAGATATAAGTCTGCTCGATGTGGCACAGTACTACTATAATCCCCCTAGAAGGCTTGGTTGTAGAGCGTGAGCCCTGAATGAGCCACAGATTTATTTGAAGCATGTTTTAGCCCACTTTTGGGGCATCGAGACTCGCTCTAAACAGCAGTTATGATGCATCGCCTGGTTCCCCTGCCTCTCTATCCACCTACTTCACCGAGAGAAAGTAGGGCAAGGACTGATCGCTTTTACTAACAGCCTACGAGCATGAACCTCAGATATGAAGATAAAGCTTTGTGGTTTGGTGCAAGGCCTTTAAAAATTTAAAAGCATTTTACTCAATATGCAGTCATTAGAAATATGATTAACTAAATGGAGATTCATCAAATATGCTCTCTGGGCGATGTAGAAGATTTATTGTGCTTTCAACTATCCTGTTTGCTGGGATCCCTGTGATAGTTTTAGTAGAATAAGAACAGAAATGATTAAACAGAATATTTAAACACTGACATGTACAGAGTTTGAGGCTCGGAGATAAAGGAAGAAGGCTTTTATTAGGATTAAAAGATTGCTGCAGAAGCGCTGTCTTTGTTTTTCTTTCACTTTATTTGAGATTTTGAGCAAATTTTACTTGATTGTCTTGCTTTTTAAAATAAAAATCAACTGAAATGATCACGACACTTTATATATATGGTGATAACTTTGTGCAAGTCACGATGATAATCTAAATAGGTTTGGTGTTTTGTCAGATGCCTGAAAACTAAATATATTCATAAACTGTAACAAACACGAACTCTCTATTAAAAAAAACACACAAAACACTCGACGAGCCAATTTGAAGTCATAGAGGAGATCCATCTAATATCATTTTATGTCATAAAAATGTTTTTCTCCCTCATGGCCAAAAGCACAGCCCCATTAGAACAACCACAATAATCATTAGATCACAACGGAAATGTTCATCCACGCAAACTGGCACAGCTGAGGAAGTCCCAACCTAATATTCCACTGTATGCTCAAGCATCTCTGGACTTTATGAAACAGGCAGCAGAATTCTCTAATCTACTTTAATGAATAAAATAATTAATATTGGTTGATTCTGGTACATGCAATTCAGAAAAGAACCCCGATGGAGAACACACAGCACGTGGCTGGAAGGAGTAGAGGCCATAAATAAAGAAAACTAATCCTAAAGCAAACTGAATCCAAAAGACACGTCGAGCCGAACAGATGAAGGAAGCACGAGTAGTAAACAGGAAGGTGAACTGGCAACTGCAAGAGGAAGAAACACGATTATATATACATGTATACATATATATATATACACCCACACACACACACACACACACACACACACACACACACAGAGGGGCTGATTCAGAGGCGAGACGCAAAGAAAACAGAGGGCTTGTACTACGAAGCAAGATTAATGTTTCAATGTGGTTTGCTGAACGTGTAGTCAGCGTTTTCCGTGTCACAAAGGTGGCTCTCTTTTAACTTGCTAGATCGCCATGGGAACTGATGCTGCCTAGCTAATCTGCTCTGGTTCTGTTCAGAGTTTGGGATTCTGACGTCATTCCCTGTAAGTGATGCAGATTCTCAGCTGTGGGAATATGTTGCATCTGCAAACCTGTTGAGCTGTGCGTTCCCACTGAAAGAAACCATGCTGGTAAATGGTTCCATAATGGTTCCATAATGGTGCCATTATGGTAAATGGTCCACACTGATATGGCACTTTTTGAACCTGGGTATTACAAAGCGCTTTACAGTGTGTTTCTTGTTCACACACAGTCACACACGAATGCAAGGTGCTCAGCAACCATTTGAAACAACTTGGTGTTGCGCTCAGCGGACAAGCTGTTCTTCCACCTGAGCCATGGCCACCCCGGGTTACCACGGGAACCAACAAGCATTCAGCTGGGCTTTCAGGAAATACATTAATATGTTTTTGTGCTTGGTCCTGATTTGCTGATAGTGCCGTTAATACAACAGAGATTAGAATGTTTTAGTCTATAGTTATCTATGGACATTCAATCAATTGCATACAATTTTACTTTAATTAAAAATAAATGGAGTCCCACATGCCTTTCATCATGGGTCACTGTCAGACCTAAATGCACTTATTGAGTTTCATGTTTAAAAGAATTTAAATGTTTGAGAGTTCTAATGTGCAGCTGCCACGCTAGAAGTCAGCAGCTGGACTGAGAGTGGAAATCTCTTGGATCATTTGCTGTAACAGCATTTTTGACTTTAATACTGTTATATTCTTCATAGCTCTCATTTCCAGCAACCTGTTCCTCTTGACTGAAGTAGGTGACACGCCGTCAGTTCATTTTGTGCAGAAGAGTTAAATGAGGCATCAAATACCCCCTTTTTTATGTGAGCGTGCACAGAGTCGTATAAAGAAAATCCAGTTAATAAATAAAGTTGATAACCACCACTGTGATGTCTGTTATATCCGATTGGGGTTTAGGGTTTTCTCAAGCCAGCTTACACAAATAAAGTCTGGCTATGTCGAACTTACAATACACAAAGAGAGGTATCAGAGACAGCTTCCAAACATGGTATAACTGAAAAAGGATAGAAAACATACAAACGGACAAACAGGGAGAAACACAAGAGGTGATTTTAGAAAATAAAAACCGAAACCCTCAAACCATGACAGATTATCTGTAAGCAGAGTTGAATTTTCCCCTCATGGTCACAGTACTCAGCCAGAAGGGCACTCAGAGAGCTCAGACCTCCACCAAGGCCAAGGCTCGATCTCACAGTTTTAGAGAATGTGATCTGGACCCGCATCAAAATTTAATGGGTTCTTCCTTTGCCCTTGCTCCACCTTTCCACCAAGTTTCATGAAATTCAGCTAGTTGCTGTGTAATCTTGCAGACAGGGAAACCAACAGAAAGATAAACGAATGATGCTGGAAAAAACATCAGGAATGAAGTTTGAAAAAAGCTGTTACATACAGTTTTATAATGGAAATCTGTCTTCCCACTGTTGTACCAATCTTTAATACATCAGCTTCTCTCAGCTTATTTGTTGTTTAAACACAGAACCTATGTTGTGTTTCACTCCTATGGGACTGCTGTACAAAGAACATTGGACACATGTCTGTTTTTACCAGCGTTGCCCAAGCTGTTTTTTTAATTTATTTTTTAAATTAACTCAATCATGTTCAGTCAGTCACGAATCTTGACGCCTCTTTAAGCCGCGGTGCCGATAAAGGCGATGGAGTGTAGAGGCAGACACGCAGCACCGGCTTGCAGCTACAGCGGGTTTTAATAATGGTTCTGCATCACTGTTCCATTGATCGAGGCTTGGATGCTGTCAAATTACGTGTTAAATTAAAAACCACAGACAGGTGCAGACACAGACGCACGGAAGAAACAGCGGCGCACATTTCCTGTGCTGTAATATGGTAATTTGCTGGCATGAAGGCACGGGGAGCCAGTCAGATAAGGCTCCCGCGGGTACGACTTTGACATCCGCAGCCGTCAACAGTGGAGCTTTTACGATGACGAATGCTGCTAATATGGAGAGAATAAGGCCCCTTCCTATTGATTTCCAAGCCGTGGTCCAATGGGAAATATGATCACCCAAGACAGCAAATACGCATGGAATTATTGTAACTTTCCTCAGCATTGATCGCATGGCTAATGGTGTTTACATGTAAAGATGGCGGCATGCTTTTTTTTTTTTTTGCTCAATGTGACGTTATTTGCTATTAAGAGTGGAGAGCGTGGCGAGGACCGGAGGGGACGAGTTAGAAAGTCTCTATTTGTTACAAAGACGTTTCAAGGCCAATCATACTCCCTCACTTTATGAATGCTCTGCTCATCCTTTCCTTTAACCACTGTCATCAGCTGTTTCACTCTCCCCTGCCGCATGCTTAAATAATAATCATTCTGTGTCCATACTTGTCATTTAATGGAACTCGTGTGTGCACTCTAATTGCGTTCTTCGTAGACTTTTCTTCACATTAGCATGCACATGCTTGGCCTTTTATTCTCCCCATTATTTTGTGTGTCTGTCTTTAGCCCCGTCTTGCCTCCTCTAACCCTCACAGATTTTCGATGCTCCTCTTTTTTCCCAGAACACATCCTCAGAAATATTGCGCGTTTCAGATAATGTGCCAGAGTCCCTCTTTCTCTCCTCCCTGAGTCTCTCTGCTCATTGTGCTGTGAAAGAAAGGCAGAGCTGTGCCGACTGGAAGGGAATAAGACTCCTTTGAGAGGTTTGGGGCAGGGCTCATTAATGATAACAGATTGTGCAGTGTGTTGGTGTGTGTGTGTGTGCATGAGCATGCATTCCTATTACAGGTATAATTGGTGGAATTACTGTAGTCAGTATGCAGTGTATACAGTATATATAAGGGCTGTATTTTCAGTATGTATATGGATCCATACAAATTGCCATCGAGACACTTAATTCTACTGCAGCATAACTACACTTGAAGGTTTAAAGGTTCAAGGCCCCCCCACCTATCCAGTGATATACAATAATCATACATTTATTAAATACTGCTGCTAACAACCAGTGACACAACAGCACAATAAACTTGACCTACAAGGAGAATATGCGAATAAGTACATGAATGCAAGACTGAAGTTTGGCAATGAAAGTAAGCCACAGGTGAGCAAGCTGAATGAGAGCAGTGATGGATTTGGAATTACTTTGGATTTGAGAAGCCAATTTTAATTTCCAGATTCATCCCTTTGGCAGAAAGAAAGGCCGTGTTACCTGCCAGTCCGTGAAATAGTTGCTTAATAAGTGCGGCGTTGCAGGAGAGGGAGAAAGAGGTTCTTGCAGCTGTGGTGTGGAAAAAGGCAGCTGGTTGAGTTTGGTTCGGGAACGCAGAGACAGAATGGGGACTGAGAGAAAGAAAAACTGGGGCTTGAAGAAAGGGGGGAAAAAAAGCCACCACGCCACTTTAACAAAGGAAATGTACCGCGACTTGCATTCCAGTGGCAGCCGTGTGAAGCAAAATTCTGATCGGCATTTCACCAGTCTATGCTTATTTCCAGTGATGGTGTTAAAGTTGAAGCTTCCTTCTTCTGTCGCTGAGAGGTCAGAGGTCAAATACCTTTAGAACCCAACTTTGAGATCATGGCTTAAATATACAAATCTGGCTGTTAAGTACCTACAAAGAATAACGACATGACATCCTGATAGACTGAGTCATTTAGTAAATATTAATAAATTCTACTATCAGTACGAATACAAGCACATACGTTCACCAGTAAGACTTTTGGAGCATATATGCTTGAGACAAAAAGCCTGTCTCTGAGAACAGGTGAAGGGAACAGATTGAAGAGTTTTAGTGTCTCTTGTGAACATAAAAGGAAGCAGGACATGTTTGTTTAATACTGGTCCTGCAGAACAACAGATTGTTCAGGATTATCGAGTCCAGATTTCTTTGATTTTGGGTTTAAACATTGCAGTTTATTCTGATGTATAAAATTCAAACTGTTGGAGAAGCAGAGAGTTTGGAGTTTAGTTCAACAGGCAGCTCCTGTGCCCTTGAGAGGTTTGTTGAGACTCAGATCTGACACCTTGAAAGCTTATTGTTTCCTTTGGGTGCTAAGATACGTCTCCTGTTGTCTCCAAGAGGTCATTGAATTGTCCTCCGATTGTCAACATCCATCTGTTTCATCACCGGGTGCCGGTAAAGAAGGTTTCACATGAATAGAAGTCTTTGTTGGTTTTCTTTCCAGAGTGACTCAAGTGGAGTCATATTCACATTTCGAATTGTGAGAAAGAGTCTTGGTGGTTGTTGAGTGGTTTATGGGATGCATCGTACAATAATTAACCTGCTTCTCTGCTTCCTAGAAGGTTATACAATCCAGAACCAGAAAGAGAATCTCGATCTTTCACCATCAGTTCCCAATCCAGTTATTTCTTGAAATCCACTCACTTTCATAAAAATCAATTTTTTTAACCTCACAGAAGCCTGTAAAAACTCAATGATCTAACCACTACACCTCAGTATTGGATAAGTACTCCAGAGTATCCAGAAGTAGTTCTTCATAAAAACGCATCTGTCGCTTTCCAAGGCAGCTGTGAAAATAGAGCCTCTAAAATGTGACCGCATTTTCTGCCAATAACTTTTAATTAATCAAATTAGGGAGTACAATCAGATATCAGATAACTGCAAATAAGGTTCTTCCTCTTAATTTTTAAATCAAATGACAGATTATAATGAAATTACAGGGATATCAAATCGATATAAGTTCCTAAATTTGAGACACCTGAGATTGGAGAGTGGCAAACGTTGCATTGTACGTCATGAGTAATACAACTTTTTTTTTTAGATGTACGTCAATACCTAACAACAATCCATCCAATAGCTTGTGTAATTTAGCGTAAGTCCTACAAGGTTGTTTGGAAAAGGACCCAAATACAGACATCAGAGGCAGGTACTAAAAAAAAAAAAAAAAAGCCAAAAGGCGAGCTTTAATCAAAGAAGGGCTGGTACAAAAGAAACTAAAGCCCAGATAAATCAACAGCACAGGGAGCTGGCAACGATCCAAAAAGGGGGTAACAAAAAGAAGGGAACAAAGTAAGCCGGAGTAACACGAAAAAAGGTTCAAAAGAACTCGTGTACAAATCAGACGGAGGAGAAAAACACAAGCAAAACCAGGCAGGTAAGCACAAGGAAGGAAATAAGATGAACTTGCAGCTAAAGAGGGAAACACAAGACTATTTATACACAAAGAAATACAGCACAGGTGATACACGACTCAGGTGAAACTAGTAAGAGCAATCAAAAGAGGAGGGAAACAGACAAAGGGAGGAGGTAAAGCAACTAGAGGCATTAGAAGAGAGAGAATTAAAAAAATAAAATAAAACAAGAAACAAAAACTACAGCAACTTAAATTTTACTTAAACAGTATAACAAAAGACAAAAATGTTCGTCCCTACTTTAACTCTGTCTTACACACTTTTGTAACTACATCACTTCAGATGTTACATTGATTTAGCCATTAATGATTTATTAGACTTACTGTTCTCCAATTAGTTACTATTAATTACTCGATTTCTGTTTTGCAAATGACTTGAGCTAACACCCTTCTTTAATTGTCAAAAACTCTGGGACAGCTTTTTGGGTAGAAGCACTCAGTTTGCATGTCACAATCTTGGCATTTTATCTCTGAAATGATCCCACACTTTGGATTTCCCGCTCCACCTATCTAATTAATTCAATCACTGCAGGGAGCAGCCACGTCGACTAAGACTCCCTTCATCAACCAACACTTGTCGATTCTCAGGGGGCAGCCCGACAGATTTATGTTCCCACATCATGAGCAACACAAGCACACACACCAGCAAACTAACTGACATTTACTCCCTTTTCTCAGTATACGGTACCCTAGTTTGATCTAGATTCATATTTTAATACAAAGATATTCACAAGCAGACATGTTGCACAGAAAAGCTGTCTGATGACGCTGGTAGGTGCAGTATGTGTGAGATTCCATCATCCACCATCCAGAACAGTCCACCTAATATGGATTGTTTCTGCCTCACGTCTGAGAGAAGCGGTGGTTAATCTGTATTCTGCTGCGGTGGCTCATCCTTCACACACCAACATGTGTGCAACATGTGTCTGTATCTGAGGGTTTATTTATAACCAGCCCTGCAGTCAGCAGAGAAAAGCTGAAGCCACGAATAACTGGCTGCTTCATGAACCAAAATGACTCTTCTGTGTGATAAATGTGACACATATTCATACAAACTGATGGATTTATACATTTTTTTAAACTCATATTGAATTCAGGCAGGTGCACACACCATCCAGGAGTAGTGGTACTGTCTGTAATGCTAATGTTTGTGTGTGGTAGAAGCGATGTAAACACGGACAGAGGAAGCTGTGGAGAATCTGTTATTTCCAGGGATGCAGCCGAATCCTCTCCCATAAAACCTAATGCGATCTCATTAACATTTGCAGGCAAGAAGATGCTCTCGTTTCATCTCGGCTCCCTGTTTCGGCTCCAGGTTACATCCACTCCATCACATCTCACTGGACTGATACGCATGATGATTAAATGACATTCTGCCGAAGTGGGGTCATCTGCGTCTCCTCGTGTTTGTGACATACATACAAATATATGGATTGCATCCCATTCGACTGTTTGGCAGAACATTAATTGGCTTACAGGGTCATCATTTTCATCTTTGCACACACAGCGAGGTACAATGGTGGAGTCATTCAGACATGAGTCAAGCCATTCCCACTTACATAATAGAGCCGCTGCAAAATACTGGGCCAGGCTAACAGGATAATGAGTACTCTCCAGAGTCTGATTGAAAAACACTTTGAGCTTCATAATACAGGTAGAAGAAGGAAACAGTATGTGTGGGGGAGATCTCAAAGAAAGAGATAGGCCTTCTACAGTAGCTGCGTTGTTTGGCTTCCTGCTGTTCTGCTATGTTCGCTGCTACTGCTAGACAGAATTTGTATTACAAGCCGGTTCCTTTTGTCCCTGGGATGTGTTGCAGGTTTTAAGAAAGATGTGCTATTGAACTGAGCGGGTAGACACTTGCCTCTCCACCGATTAAATTATTGATGAAATATGCTACATCCAGGCTCTGTGACACGGGGAATAACAACTGGATCCATGATGTCTAGCGAAACCACATCTCCAGGGAAAATTCTCATTTTCTCATTATACAGTATTATCACAGAACAAATAGGAGAAAAGCTGCGGAGAGATTTGCCGGTGGGAGAGAAGAACCCAACCTGATAAATTATTCTACTTGTCAGCAGGAGCCCAAGAGCAAGGCGCCTTTTTTCGGACTCCCAAAGCCAATACGAAATACAAAACCAATAAATTTGCAGTTCCGTGAAGAGCAGAAGCAGCCTCTCGACTATCATTGTTCTCCTGCTTAGCGCTTGTCTGCGGTTTTCCTTGATACAACACAAAGCAAGTCGATACACGATGAGAAGTTACCTTATTAGGCAAATAACAGCATTGATTTAAAGATTCAGGCCAGTCAGTTGCTGTGTAATCAAAGCATTTCCCTCCTTCTTTCCTGTCTGTTTGTCCTTGCCTTTGTCTTTTTTCTCCTCCTCCTTCCCCAGGCGAGAGCATCCAAGGCCATCCGAATGTGTTTTTGGAAGGTGAGCAGTCTCATGGAGGTTCGGCTTCCCAGCAGTCCTTTGAGACGAAGACCGAAGGTGGAGACGAGGGAGGCCGCAGAGCCAGCGTGACCAGTGTGGAAAGCGAAATGTCGATTTGCTCCATGGGCCAACTGGGAAACACCATCACTAACAGTGAGTAGGAGGGAAACACAGATCGAAAAAAAACACTCTGCCGTCTTTGATTTATCTCCTGGACACAAATTTTGGGCTGATGAGGTTTCACAGCTTGTAAGTTGCCCTCAGATGTCCACGCGTTTCTGTGTGTTTATGCTTCAGTTTCCAGTAGCTGGTGGGGCTCCAAGAGGCTGGATTATGCTCTGTACTGCCCTGATGTGCTGACCGCATTCCCAACAGTGGCTCTGCCGCACCTTTTTCACGCCTCCTACTGGGAGTCCACTGATGTAGCAGCTTTTGTTCTCCGGCAGGTAGGAGAGTCTTGCTGATGGCTTTATTGCCTTTTCCCCAGCACGCTTCACGAACTGGGAGAAGTATCCTCTGCACAATTACTGCATAAATACAAAACCTTGATTAAATTACCATACTATGGATTGTTCTCTGGGTTTGATTAGTACAACTAGTGTTATGTGAAGGCCGGATCAGAATGTAAATTCACAACAAAACAGTTTGCAGGTTACAGAAAGTAAAAAAGATTCTATGAACTCACGTACACATTAAGTCTGTTGTTTAGATCTTAAGCTTGCATATTGACTCTGTTTTCCCTGATGTATCAGCTGTGTTCTGCTCCACATCCACATTGTTGTAGCACAGTGTTACATCCAAATAAGAGCAGCAGGAAGCCATTTACTGTCACTCCATCATCCACTGACCTCTTTGCGAGCTTGTATAACACTGTATAACATAACAACACCACCAGCAAGACATTTGTAGGAGGTAATAAAAGTGGATACAGAGGCACTGCAAACATTCTTTTTTTTCCTCGTCTTAATATTAACTGGGGAGTTTTTAGAATCTTGCGTTGGCATTTCTTGGAAGGCGGTTGAATGAATTCATAATCTGGTGCTGACATAAGAAGATATGCTAGTAATCCAAAGGGCAAGGGAACTTTATTAATACAGCACATTTCATACAACGAGTAATGCCAAATGCTTTCCATAACTTGATTTAAAGAGCTCATATTGTGCTGTTTGGGTTTTCCCCTTTGTGATAGCTTTTTTTGTGCAATGAAAAGATCTGCAAACTGCCAAAGACCAAAGTCCATGCTCTAGAGAGTTATCCTCTGCCACATAAAGCCTGCTCCTTACCTGCTTGAAATGCCTGGTTTGAAGTCCAGGCTTTTCTTCTGCTACTTATTGACATCACCGTGTAACACATTTGCAGAATAGAATAGAATAGAATAGAATAGAATAGAATAGAATAGAATAGAATAGAATGGAATAGAATAGAATAGAATAGAATAGAATATGCTTTACTCATCCCAGACCTGGGAAATTATGGTAAACAGCAGCAGCCAAAAAACATAGAAAGAAAGTACAAGAAAATAACAATAATTAGGTAATGTGCATCCGGTGTCCGCACACAGCAGGTCCAAGGCTCCACCGTCTTTGGTTGGGCAGTCCACATACTGGCTGAATGTGGGAAGAGTAGTTGAGAACGATGTATGATTAAAGTCTCCTGAGATGAGACTGAGGTTGTGATGTTTGCAGCTGGGACACTGAACTATGGATGAGTTCACAGGCCGCAGCAGCATCAGCCAAGGGGGGGGATGTAAACTGCAATCGTCAGGATGTGCGCAACCTCCCTCGGCAGGTCAAACGGCCGCAGAACCAACCGCCAGCAGTTCAGCATCCTTCGTGTAACGCTGCTCTTTAACGCTGACGTGCCGGCATCACATCACACCATCTCTCATTCACACACATGATGAGTCCCCCTGCCTTTCTTCTTACCACTCTCCCTTAAGCTCCGGTCCGCTCTGACCAGGTGAAATCGGTCCAAAGTTACGAGTGAGTCCAGAGTGAGTTCGTTCAGCCATTGTTCGTTCATGCTCGCCTAGTGGCTGGTTTGGCACATCCTCAAACAAAGAATGCTTTCTGGCAGTCCACCATTATTTTATCAATAGGGCTGCTTTTGTTTGGACTACTGCCTGTGCTTGTAGATGTACAGCTACAACACACAACCAGGGCACACAACCTTGATTTTGTTGGGCCAGCTGACCAATCAGAGCAGACTTTACTAATACTGAGAGGAGCGGCTGCAGCATTGTACAGTATGAGAAAAAAAAGAAGTGTTTTTTGAATAATAAATCATGTAAATGTATTCTAGTAGACCCTAAAAATACAATTCTAAACTTGTAAATGTGCATAATTTGGGCTCTTTAAAGAAAATCTTTGGAAAAGGTGAAGAAATTCAGCTACTAAAAGCATGTTGTAGTAGAATTTAAAGTGCCTCTGTAATACCTGGGATGTTGGAAACTCCATTAATAGTACATAATAGTACATAGTTCATAATTCTGAGCCAAAACTCCAAAATTCTAATTCTGCTCTTTAATTCATGCTTTAAATGTTGCATCCTTATTGACTTTTTAGGTGGCATTCTTAGTTTAAGGCAACGAAATGTGACTCTGTGATGTTTTTTTTTTTCTCTTGCCAGTTCCGTGAACAAAACGACATTACTTGTGGAACAGCTGCTACCGTTTAATGATGTCTCCTTGCATCTCAAACAACACAGCTTAGAAAAAAAAAAAAAAACGCTGCTTATTTGTTCGCCGCTTTCTTCTGCACGTGACACCCTGAATATGTTATTAGCAGAAGCGTGGCAGCGAGCCAGTAATGCCGCCAACATGGCTTTATAGCTTTTAACTGTGCAGAGAACCAATCAGAATAAGAATTAAACAGAGATTTACTGAAGCGTTCAACCCTAAATATTGTGTGAGGTCGTTTCTGGACATCTTATTGTGTTTCGAGCTTCAATCTTGTGCTGAGTCATGATCTGGAGTTACAGCTGAGAACACTGTGTATGATATAAAGGCACATTTTAACCTCGGTTTAGGGTTGATGAGCGATGGTCAGGACTGTGGAGATCGTGCAGTAGTCTGCAAAACAGAGCAAGGTCACTGTCAACCGTCGGCGCTCTTTATCTCCAGTGGAGCTCTTTAGGATTCATCTCACATCACATCTGGGCTTCAGACAAGTGGAAGTTATTTCAGCATCCATGTTTGATACGATTAAAAACCTGAACAAAACTGTTTCTCATTCTGTAGTTTGGGCTGGTTTATGAATAAATGCAAAAGGGCATGACTTTAATCTGCAAAAGTCAGAAATGAAATGCGTGGCGCCTATAATTTTTTTTAAGGGTGGTTAGAATTCTAAAGGTCTGCAAATATATTCTGAGCTCAGGTTAAATCTTCAGTCATTTCCATATTTCTATCATCAACTTGCTTCAGTCGTACGGACCCAACCTTTGATCTGAAGCCTCTTAAAGTGCCACAAGTGCTTTCTAGCACTGAGGCTGGAAACCATGAAACCTGGAAATGTTATCATTAGCATGTGAGAAGCCTGTACCTTTTTCATATTTTAAGAAATGTGAGAAAAGAGCATGAATGTATCATGTCACATCCTATTAAAAGCCTCTGAAAATGCTGGTTTTATAAATAGAAAGTAGAAAAAAGAGGTTTCATTTTACCCCGCTACTATCTACTGTGTCATGTCTTCTTTATAATACAGCATAACGGGGAATAAAGGAAGCTCATAGGAAATAACTAATAAACCTCAATGCTTCATCATATCAAAGGATTGTCATGAACTATAAGAGCTGCACAGGAAGTTATTTATTAACATCTAGCTGGTTCTGTACTTTTCTCAGCATGTTTAAGAAGATATTCTGAAACAAGGAGCATCCCAAGGTCCAAGCGACTCGATGACTGAATCAAAAATGACATTCAGGACCTCTTTCGAGTAGCGAGCTGTAATTTTCTACAAGTACTCCAAATCGCCTCTCAGCCTTTAATCTGTGTCAACGTGGCTCTTGTCGCCAACGCTTTCCATTGGAATTGCGTTTTATGATCCTCAAACATGACTGCAGATTCACTTTTTTTAGGGCTCCTTCCACGTTATTATTGTCTTCTCTTTGTGCCGCATGAATACTGACAGACAAAGCAATTCTCTCTGCTGGAAAAATGTGTGAAAGTGCCCGCTCTTACCCATGTATGTCTTTAACTGACAGCTCATGCGATGCGACTGTGTGAAGACCCAGGAAGCCGACCGCCTGGACTCAGCTCCGTTCTCTCCCTCCAGCCCACGCGAGAAATGGCTCAGAAGGAGGACACATGTCAAACTACGGGTAATAAATTATTTGGTGTTTATTTTGTATAAACACACTCGTCCCAGTTTGCTCTGATGGCAAAAATCAATCCGAGCAGAAACACGAATTTAGGGTCACTTTGTTCATTTTTAGAGGCACATTTTGAAAGTTAACGCGAACAAATTCATGAATGTTTCAACAAAAGAATTTGGCTCACACACAACATATTACACAAGCTGGGATATTGTCTCCAAGGTGCCTCTAATTCTCAGAAATATACCCACCTACACAACATCACACACAGCCGGAACTGTTTTTCTGCCTTTAAAGATGGATTTTATTTCTTTTTTTTTTGCTCCAGACTCTCAGATTGAGGGTCAGCTTAGGCGTTTATTCAACATCCTTGGATCAAAACAGTTCTAGTGTAGGTTGAACTGACAATGGCAAGAATGTGAAACTTTCTTACATACCTTGATGCAAGCATCACATGGTTTCTCGACCGTCAAGGTTAAATCGTAAATTTCTCTGCCTCGATGTCTGAATGTAGCTGGAAAGCTTGTTCCAGGCTGCCGCGGTGGCCTTCGCTCAAACTAAAAATACATTTGTCGTTAAATGCTGAATTCATACAGCTTTAGTCGACTGTGGCCTGAATTTCTTAAAATACTCCCACACTTTCACCTTGAAGCGCTGAAGCGGGAAGACGCATGCAATTACTTGATGTGTCTGAGCTCCGCCGAGTGGAACAATCAAGGTCACAATGCTATCCATTTTCTAAAGACACCAAGTTAGTGACTGCTTGCTTTTCATGAGGCTATAAATAGAACTGTATAAGCAGAATGCCATGGAAACATAACTATATTTGAGTTTGAAGGTTTTTCTTTTTTTCCCATCTTGTTCATGCCTCACCTCTGCTAAGGGATGTGTTTTTGTATGATGGTGCTTAAAGCAGTTCCTCTGTCCTGAATTCAGTATGGAGCAGCTCCATGCTGATTCAATCTGGACACTGCCGGCTCATCTGCTGCAAAGTGCTACTATTCAGAGAGGCTTGGCATCTATTTCTGATGTTCCTTGGCTTGGTAAGAGGTCTTTGTCGCTGCTGGAGAGGGACCACTGGTGCGGCTGCTGCTGCTGGTGTTGTGTGCTGCTCTTTCACAGATCAGCTTTTGTGCGCGAGAGGATGCTGTGTGATACCGAGCCACATGTTGCCTGTTTGTGTCGTTTTCACATATGACCACACAGGGAGTTCTTAGTGAATTGTGTCAGGGACGGATAAGCTGATGCCAAGCACTGTCAGGCCTCCTGAAGTCACGTAGCAACAGGACATGCTGTTTAATGCACTTTTTATTCGTTAAGTGCATGCACAGGTGTACGCATACGTGTTCGCTCGCCATCGCAGGATCAGTCAGCGAGACCACGTGCTGGCAAGCAATTGGCTGTTGACGAAGCTAATGCAGGATAGCAGCTGGAAATGTTGAACTTCCCCGTTAGATGCCACATCCTTTAAATCAATTATCATTAGCTGGTGTGGTGAAACAGTAAAACACAACAACAACATTGTTAACCACATTAACACTTAGCCGCGTTTGTTGTGTGCAGCTGCTCCGTTGTCAATAAAGAGCAGAGCACTTACAAGTAAACAAAATGTCATCTGAGCCGCTTACTTCTGATGAGATGGCAGCAATAAGCAAAGATGGAGTTAACGAATTACATTTATTGCTGTAGCTTTTGCTTACTCATAAAGTTGTACATCTGGGAATGCGTTGTGTTTACATAAGTCGTCCCTGTCGATTATACGTTTTAAAAGCATTTCATCATTGTCTCATAATTCTAAATTCAGAAATGCGAATGAGAAACAAAACACTATCTACAGGGCAACAACCACAATCGGGAGAGCAACGGGACAGAGAAGAGGAGTTGGTCGGAAAATTAGAATTTCGGTCATGTTGGCCCACAACAGTGTGTGAATTATACATCAGTGTGCTCATAATATTCTATTAAAATGCAACCATCTCAGCAAGAAGAGATTTAGGGATTAGTGTTTCTCTGCTGGCCCATTTGGAGGTACTCGCTGAATAGTGCAATATGGAGGGAAGAACAAGACAAGGACGCTTAAAAGGGAGTTAACACGCTTTTCTGTAAGGTCCCTCAGTGTATACTTTAGAGAAATTTGGCTGGACATTAAATTCTGGAAATGCAACACATTAAAGCGTGGAAAACGCGAGCCATATACCCGCTGGTTGTGTAATACTATGTCACAAAGGCTTGTAAAGACATGTCATGCAAGGACAAACAGCAGCAACAATTTTTTATGGAGCTTATTAATAGCTCAGGCCGACACAGACGTCATTTCATACTTAGTCTTCACACTGTCTAGTCATAAACTGTAATGTGCATAAGCTTTAGGGATTTGAGATGTTTACATTATGAAGTACCATCATGTAAGCATCTGATCAGTCACAAATTAATTCTACAGCATGCAACAAGAACCCCAAACATCCAGAGACACAAAGAAAAATCCCTTAGCGACAAGGAAACAGTCCTGTTTAAATGCTGTGGCCCCCACAGGACTCTCGTGGCGTCCATCTGGGATGACATGACAAGACAGAAGTAATCCAGACAGCTTAAATCCACAGAGGGACTGTGGCAATTTCTCCAAAGTGCTTGGAACAACCTGTGTACAAAACTGTACACTGGGGAGAATTTAAAGGCGTTTTAAAGGCTTGAGGGGGATGTGGCAAAACTGTATTTAATTTACATTTGTTTTGATTACTTACATGTTGTATATAGTAACGGATTAAGTTAAAAACTATTTTTAAATTGTTTTCAAAAGCATCCTCACTCTTCATTCGTGTGTTTAATGCCTGAAACAATTGCACAGTACTATATATATGACAATTACTGTAAGACGTAGCTAATCTAACAAATTTTCTTTGCTCAAAACAGTTTAAGAAGTGAAAAAAATGATCACTTGCCTACTTAATCCATCCATCCATTATCTATACACTGCTTAATCCTCACTAGGGTAGCGGGGGGGCTATAATACAATCCAAGAAGGAATTATAGACTTATTGGATGTAAATGATTTCTGACAATAACAAGAAAACCAATGCATTTCAGTAAGAAAGTCAATGTTTCACAAAAGCTTTTCAATTAATACCCTAAAGACATGTGAAGTCAGCTTTTTCGGTTGCCTACCAATTGTAACTAAGAATAATAAATACTGCACATGGATTCTCAGTCATCCAGGTCATGGGAATCTTAAGTATTGGAAGGAAACTGGACTCTTTTTTTAGGGGTTTTGATCCTCTCCTCAAAGAGGCTTCTTCAGTTCAAGGGAGTCCCAGATATACATTGTCACCCATAAATCACATCGCTCCTCAGAACAAGAGTCAGCAGCCCATTTCAGTTTAAAGAATCAGTCATAGTCCTTTAAGGACAGCACAGGATACATTCTGGACGGAGAAGACAGATAGTTTTAGAGACGGGTGAAGCAAACTGTCTGTTTAACTGGATCAAAACAGAGGAGGGATCCACTTATCAGGTACTTATAATGTAGTCCTGAGACTCCTCCCTAAACAGTTTGACAACCATTCACTTGTCAACACAGTTGAATCCTGGGTAGTTAAAAAGTTATTTAGCGATGCGATTTCGGGGTGAACAAATATATCTGGGACTCCCCATCAGTCAGTTAGAACTGCAGAAGCTTTTTGTATGAAGGATGAAATGTCTTCAAGAACCAAATAGAGAAGTCCATTTGCCTCCACTTCAGCTATTTGGAATATTTCGAAACAATAACTGAGAACAATAAATTTGAATCCACACTTTATGTAGCATAAAATTAGATTTTTAAAAGAAGAGACGGCATATTCGTTATAAGCATATTTGCCTATAATGTGATGTGAAATATCACCTGCGAAACATACCAACAATCTTGTGTCAGAGGTATTTGCCAGATATTTAAAAGCACAGTTGTCCAAGAATAGATCCTTGAGGCACCCCATATGATACTGTAGCATGTTGCTGTCTGTTACTGCAAATAATCCTTAAATCATTTCAGCGTCTCTTAACTGTACTGTACTGCTTTATACCTCTGGCTCTGCTTGTGAATTCAGTCTGCTTCATACTTGCTGAGGTTTAAACACAAGGGAGGGAGGCTACTTCTCAATTAATTAGAAGTGCTGTTGATGTGTGACAAAATAATCTCACCTCAGAGTTCACTAAGTAGCTTTTTTTGGAGCTTTGAACTGTATCTCATGATCTTCATTGATTTACTTCGGAGCATCTCATAAGCAGACAAATCCACACAGAAATTATTGTTACAATTTATTCTTTAAACTGTGTCGTTAGAGCTCTGAATGATGGATGTTGTGCTTCGTCTTGTCCTAGAACGTCACAGCCAACCACCGGGTGAATGATGTCATTGCCACCGAGGACGGCCCCCAGACTCTGGTTGGTCGCTTCATGTACGGCCCCTTAGACATGGTCACTCTGACTGGAGAAAAGGTGAAAAGCAGCTACCTGATTTATTCCTGCTGATGCACTGCGTGTTTCTGTGTCCGAGACTAATGGTAATCCGTACCTGCTGACCCTCCCCGTCCCTTCTCAGGTGGACATTCTGCTGATGACACAGCCTCAGTCCGGCCGCTGGGTGCACTTTGACACCGAAGTCACCAACAGCAGTGGCCGAGTCACGTACACCATACCCAAGACCAAGAAGCTTGGTCTGGGAGTGTATCCGATTAAAATGGTGGTCAAGTAAGTCTGCATGTAGCATGCCCTTTACAGAGCGCTTTATTATCAAATAAAATGTAGTAATACGTGAAAAAGGAGAGAATTATTGATTTTGGTTGTATGTCCATGCCCAGTATTGGTGTGTGAGCGTCTTGCTAGAGATTTCAGTATGAAAGGGAGGCCTTGAAGGGCGTAACAACTATGTGTAGCAGCTGAAGTTGCTCAGTTCTCATGTAATCTCTCTGTTTTTTCAATCCCAAGGGGGGATCAAACCAGTGCAGAGGCCTACCTGACAGTTTTGCCGCGGGGCATGGAGTGTGTGGTCTTCAGCATTGACGGCTCTTTTGCTGCCAGCGTGTCAATCATGGGCAGTGACCCGAAGGTCCGCCCCGGAGCTGTCGATGTAGTCAGGTAACTGCCTGTGCATATTCACCTCTTAAGAGTTAGAAGGGTACCGATTAATGTACAAATTCAGTACCGAGCGCCTTTGCTTGCACTGCATTTTTTCAGCCTCTCAGCACGTCTTCTCCGCGATAACACCTCTACCGCTCAAACTAAATCCTTCTGATATGTGTTTGATGTTGTGTGTTCGCATGCAGGCATTGGCAGGATCTGGGCTATCTGATCATCTACATCACAGGTCGCCCAGATATGCAGAAACAGCGTGTTGTATCCTGGCTCTCGCAGCACAATTTTCCCCACGGGATGATCTTCTTTTCTGAAGGCCTGGTTCACGATCCCCTGCGGCAAAAGACCATCTTCCTCAGGAACCTCATACAGGAGGTACACCTTTTAGATAAACTGCCACTGTGACATTAACAGGACAGTTAATCTTTGCAATATTTTGTTCCCTACAGTCAGCTCTTTCTCACTCTCGTCACTCTTTGGCAAGCTCACCGTGTTGCATACTCGCATTGTAATGCCACGCACATGTCTGACTGATTATTTTGTCTCTCACCAGTGTCACATTAAGATCAACTCTGCTTATGGCTCCATGAAGGACATCTCTGTTTACAACATGCTAGGCCTTAGCCCCTCGCAGATTTATATTGTCGGCAGACCTTCAAAGAAGTACCAAACCCAGTGCCAGGTAGCTCTATTTTCATTTGTGTCCTTTATCTCATGGTGTTCCTGTCTGCCTATTTTACTTGAAAGGTTTAGGCTTTTTCTCTTGGCTTTTCTCATTCACTTTAATCTTCCTCTCTGTCTGATTTTCCCTTTTGGTGTGCTCTGCGTAGTTCCTGAGCGAGGGTTATGCAGCGCACCTCTCTACGCTTCAGTTTGGGCACAGAGCCAGACCGAAGAAATCCCCCTCGGTCCGTATGGTCCTAAGGAAAGGATCGTTCGGCCTCTCAGCGAAGCCGGACTTCCTGTGTAAGCGTACCCACCTGCGCAGGACCATGTCGGTCCAGCAGCCCGACCCGCCGTGCACACCCAACCCCAAGCCTGAGCGAGCCCAGAGCCAACCGGAGTCGGATAAGGACCACGGTGGTGGAGGAGGAGGGGGAGGGGGAGGAGGTGGACAAGGTGCATGGGGACGGGCCTCCATGCATCGTGGAGACACCACTCCCTGACACCAAAAAAGAAATGGAAGGCTTGCAGGAGGACGGAAGAGGAGGAGAACAAACGGGTCTTAGTGTCCAGGGCCAAGGTGACACCTCATTGTTTGTACACTAGCGATTTAAAGGATGATTCCAACTTGTGTCTTATTTTTGACCCCTGCTCCCATCCATATTGCATTCCTCAAATGAGTCCGCCAGAATGCTCCTCATGTTGCTGCAGCACCTGCAAAGTCACGAACATTAATATAACATTAACAAATCCTCACTGAATAATAGCTTTTCACCTTTTACTTCACTGCATTGTCTGTTAAGCTTTTAAGAGCTCGAGGCTCTGCAAAGCTCTGACGCAAACATGGATTGATTTTGCTCACTACTGTCGAGCTCCAGCAAAGTCAATAAACGTCCACCTTCATTAAATTATGTCCCGTTGTGCATCTGATGCCTTACAGTGTTTACATTTTTAGTCAGAGATGCATTGTTATTTTTTTTAGAAATGAATAATTCAAAGAGCTTAAAAGAATAGAAGGAAAGAATGGCTGGAACAAAGAGGGAAAGTAAAGAACAACTTGAGCTTTCTCTCAGGACTAAATATTCATGTGGCAACCTGAGTAAGAGGTGCTATTATTAGCAGCAGTTCCCTAGCAGGACTGAATGTGAATTTTCCCCGTGATAATGATCATGCAGGCGCATCTGCAATGTCCTCCGAAGCTTGTAATCCACTCATTTATAGATTTGGAAATATTGTCAGTGCAATTATGGAAATTGCAGCTGAGTCATTCTAAGAGCCTGTAGAAACAAATACGCTGACACAGCACACACAAACACCCAACTGTGTGCTAACTTTGCTTCGAATGTGAGAGTCCTGACTGATTTTCTTCTCATTCGACAGTGTCACTGCTGCCTACTGTACATGTACATTGGATCCTCTGCTGGTGTCCCTCACAGCTCAGCTTTACCTCCTGCTTGGCCCTCTACACTTTGCCACCTGTTCCTTTCCCCTAAACACGCTCAATGGACAATGTCGAGGATTGCAGCAATTTTTTTTGCGAATGTCTGTGTCAAACAGTGTCTAATTGTAAAACCAGAAGAATGTACTCGAGATGGGGAAACACACACACATATTTATGCGCACTCACATGCTCCAGACGATGAAAAATGCCACGATGATGGCTGCATTAGAGCTTCTGAGACCTTCCCCCGGCCTTAGCAGCAGTTTACCAGATGCTGCACTGCACTTTGGTGCCGTTCACGCTGCTGCGCTGACAGGTGGTCATGTTGAAGGACTCCTGCACTGACTCTCCAACCAATGTAAATATTCACCACACATCACGCCTGTGTGGCCCCTCTGGACACAGAAGCACTGTGACATTTAGGTTTGGAGCTGTGCCGTCTGGAGCCCAGCTAACCTTGCCAAACGCCTGCCTCTGCCTATACACCCCTTCCACCGTTGGATGTTTCCTGGTTGGCTTACCACACACACACCCCTTCTCCCTTCAACCAGTCAGGCAGAACATGCCTTTCGACAGCCACCTCAGACCCTCCGCTCTGCAGCCGCTGAAGTGCTGCGGTGTGCACAGCTCAGCCCCCGAGGTCGCATTTGCACTACACCGCAGCGGATTTAGCTCCAGAAGCAAAGACTTGCATTTTAATCGTATTTGTAGTTTTTGTTTCTCCTCGCCCGTTTGTGCACTGTCGCTGCTGCTTGCTGGTTCCTGTAACTGCTGAAGGATTCGATTAGTACATAGAAAAGTGTTTCTTTGACCAAAAATGTTTACAGATTAATACACAGTTGTAGACAGTGATCAGAACTTGTTTCCCTTCGTAATTACCATGAAAGTGTAATTAGCATTATTAACATTAGTTTAGTTGCTTGATAGTTGCAGTAGCTTGCAGGATATCGTACAATTAGAGAGTTCAAACTCCGCCAGGATGCCCCTTCGCATCCATTTATTACAGCTGCACTGGAACCAATAGATTCGTGATGAAATCTGATGCCGTCTTGTGCACTTGAGGTCGAATTGAGTCTTACTGTGGTCATGTTTGAAAATCTGTGCAAGTTGAACATATTTTTCTAAGAAGAAATATTGTAAATAGAGATATTTTCGATGTATGTTTTGGAACATTTGTTATTTGACTTGTTGAATGGTTGATTTTTTTGCCTTAAATTGTATTTGATGTTGTGTAGAGATAAATAATTTGTTTCGCCAAAGTATCACTGTTAGTTCATGACAAAGTATTTAATCTAGTCGATATTTTTGCTTTGACATGTTTTAGATACCGTGTACGAGTGTGCGCGCGTGAGAGTCTAGGTATCTGTTGTGTAGTTGTATTTGCTGAGAACACGAAGACGGTCACGACTAATGCTGTAAAGGCCTCTTCAGAGGACTCGGAGAGGCCGGTGTTAACATATCTGCATGTTCCCACTGCAGCTCACTACTGCCGTTTTTTTTTTTTTTCCAGAACGGAGCATATATTTTTACTGTATTGGACTGAAGCAGAGTGGCGGAGGATTGCTTGGCCGAGGTTTTTATACGTGCTATGAAAGTAAAAGGGGACTTATGAATTCTTACGGTGTCTTGTTTTAAGTGAAAACCTGCATAGCGGAAAGAAACGTGCGAGCCGAGGGGGAGCTATCTTCGACTCTTTTCCTCCCACCTCCCGTACGCAGTAGGTGGTCCAGTAATTAGCTATTTGATTGCTACTAAGTATGTATGGTTCCCTGTAGTGCTGCCCCTGTAATTGCAGTGCGCCAATTAGCATTCCTTGGTAATTGTATAATATTGTGGAAACAATACTGAAATACTTAACTCGATTTTGTTTCGCATTTAGATACTCAATACTGAAACATTGTTGTCCAAGCAACAAAGATGACCATTCCAGTCAATGTACACACAATAATCAAAGTGACTCCATTAGTCTGTACAACACATAATATATATTTTAGTGATGCATCGAAGGAGTTAAATATTTCACGTGGGCAGCAAACGGTGTTAGCAAATGGCAAATGAGGCTCTAATGGTTAAATGGTGGTTGTTCTGGTGCATGTTCATTCTTTGATATTGTTAAATAATTGCTAGAAATTGTCATGTTTGTTGTAATTTAACTGACAATGTAATATTTGCGTACGAGTGTTGAATAATAATTCATTGTCAACCACTACTTGATGAGCAAAATCAAAATTAGTGGTCAAGTTTATGATAAATAACTGATTTTCTACAGTAAAATAGTAAAAAATGAAATAAAATTTGGGAAATTGTTATGAATATGTGACGTTACCTCTTGCTTTTACCTCAGATTTCCCTCATTTAGTGGCTGACAAATAGTGCCAATTTTCATTTTATGGCTAAATAATAGACATCTGAGAGGTAAACAAAAACAACAACATTATCAAATAATGATATTTTACTGTTAAATATCCTCTTAAATATGATTAACCCTTCAACAAGTACGAAGTAATATGGTTTTAACTATTGGGTACTGACCTAATTTGCCATTTATTAACAATTTAGTATGACGAGTAAGTTAACTAACATGATGCGACAATTTCTGTTGAAAACTGTTGATTTTTACTTTTGGTCTTCTTGGCCAATGAGGGAGAAAAAAACAAAAACATCTGGTTTCACTGCTGCAAAGTTTATTGTTTTGTACAGATCTCCTGTGATGAACATGTTATTGTGTTTATTGGACTCAGTCCTTCTTTCATTATTGCATAAATAAAGATATTTCACAGTTGGAGAATTTAGCTCGGCTTCAGGAGCGTCTTATTATTTATTCCACTTGTCCCTTATCTCTGGAGACACTGGAGGCTGAATCACCTGCGATAACCTTTTTTTTTTTTCTTCTTCTCCCCTTCAAGGTCATCTGCTTCGCTGTAGGGCATCAGAGTTGAGTGCAGTATCCACTTACGTAGAATCCGTGCTGGGATGTGTGTCCGACTTGGAAACCTCGCTCCAACTTTCCTTCTCTCTGCATTCACTTTCTAAGCTACAGTATGTGGCCTATAAATCAGCCAGTTTGACTTCGTGCTGATGTATTACAGACATTAGTGAGACCGCCAGTTCCTGCAGCAGCCACAGCTGTGGGTCTTATTCAGCCTCCACAATGATCAGAGTGCTACTCCTGCTTAATCAAAGAATGGCTACACGCCTGTCCTGATTGCTGAAAGTCAAACTAGTCATCCATTCACTGCGGGGCCGCAACACACGCTGCAATGGTAACACAATGAACTGCTGGTTCCTGCCTTAAATGTAGGTCTCTTTGAGTGCAATTGTTCCTTGGCGGATGTTTGAACAGAGACAGATTTTATAGACTGCATTCAAGGTCAAGGATGAACTTTAAAGTACTCAGACAGAATGACCATGCTGGATCTGGTGCAGTCAGTGTGTTTCCATCAAATTTTTAAATGATACATGCAGGATTCAGTTTAATGAAATATTTAGATTTTAAGCTGACAATTGGTTCCCTTTTTTTTTAAGGAACCAAACATCACTCATGATTCATTCTGTCACCACTGGAAAGTTGAAAGTCCAACTCTCCTGTTAATCTTTACAGACTCTGTAGTTTCGACAACTTTTAAAAGAAAACATAAAATCTTAAATCCTTAAAATATTAAGGTTGAGACCCAAATACCACATCGCCTCACTGATGTAAGAATAAATGTTCAGATCCTACAATAATATTCATGGCAAAGCCAATGAATCCAAAGATTCTCTTTGAGTGAAGAGTTGCAGACAGTGAAGAGGAATAACTCCTTTTAATGAGAAGACACCTCCAGCAGAACCAGAATCAGGGAGGGCTGCCGTTTTTAAAAGGCATTTTGTTTTGTGCAAGACACTGCATGAACCGAACTGATGATTTGACCTTAGAGAAAAAGTCAACTTCTTCACCTAACGTCAGGTCAGTAGGGTTTTTCCTCTAAGGCAGGGGTGTCCAATCCTGGTCCTCGAGGGCCACAGTCCTGCATGTTTTAGACGTTTCCCTCTTCCAACACACCTGATTCAAATGATCAGGATCGTTATCAGGCTTCTGCAGAGCTTGATGATGAGCTGATCATTTGAATCAGGTGTGTTGGAAGAGGGAAACATCTAAAACAAGCTGGACTGTGGCCCTCAAGGACCAGGATTGGACACCCCTGCTCTAAGGGCTACAGTGCAAATTTTCATCAGCATCCAGTCATATTTGTTGAGGTATTTCAGTGGACCAGCTGCTTTCTGGGTAAAAATTTAAACATCGACAGGATCAACCAAGCGAACTCCAGCTGCCAGTGAAGATCGTGTGTTAATGCAACTCATCATTTAGAATTCATTAGCAGTGGAGGTATTTTCATTATTCACCCATTGAGACTGTCGCTATTCAAACCGTTTAAACCCAGATTTTCGTAGAAATACTGCCTACGCTCAACTCAACCAGCAAATCCTGAAAAGATGAATGATTTTGTAAAAATTATGATCGGCCCTGATCATAGTGAATGTGATGAGGACAATTACCTAGCTATGTTAGCCCAGTTTAAAGGGTTTTATCCCACCCCAGGCGTTTGGCATAATGAGCTGGAGCTGTGATTCTCCCGGCCACATTTAAACGTCATTAGTAACATATGGTCTGGGAAAACAGGGAAGAATTGCTCCTTTGCAAAAGCAAGAACTGCCGGCTTCTGACACCAGGTGTCACGATTCACATAAAAGAAAGTCAGCCACAGCGAGAGCCATAATTCAAAAGGTTTAAACTTTTTCTGGCTCCTAGTTCGTGTCCCCATTCTCCCAGTCGCTCTGCTTGGTTGTGCAGAAGCAATCAAGGCTAAAAGGCTCCTTCTTTCTTTTCTCCTCCAATTGTTTTCTTCATCACAAGTCACTTCAGCTGATCAATATCTTGAATCAAGGTGAATTTTCCTGTGAGACGCATTAGTAAGAGCCTATGCTCACGACTTCATTAATCAACCAGGTGCTTGAGTAACAAGAGATCCATGTGTGAAAAGACTCTCTGCTCACGTGGAGCATCTCCTCTTTATTCAGGCAGCATACAGCGTTTGGATTTCAAGAACAGTTAATAAATTGACCTTGCAGCATGATTGCAACAGTTTTGATATTTATTCAATACCTGCCATATGTGATAAATAAGCCAAGGTTATGTGCTCCAGTGATGGCCCACTATGATTAAATGAATTTATCTGAAAGCTGAAACACCAAATTTTGTGATCCCCTTTATAATGAATATTTATAACGGCTGTATTTAGTGTGGATGAGGGCACATCTGGCTCATACGCAGGCTGAGTGATCTGTGAAGTGATCAAAAAAATGTAATAGCAACAGGACAAGGTGAACTTTTTGCCACCTGTTTCAGAAAGTCACAGTTACAACTTTTTAATATACAAGCCAAACAATGGCTCAAACAACAACACAATGTCACACATGTACATACAGGACATACACTCGAGATGCATCTGTATGTCAGTGCGTATACAGTAATCCATGATCAGCCACAACATTAAAACCACCTGCTTAAAAATGTGTATCTCCAAAACAACTCTGAGCTGTCAGGGAAAGGACATAGAAACTCTGGGGATGTTCTGTGGTATTTGGCAAAGGGACATTGACAGCAAAACCTGTGAGATGTAGGGCAGTGCCTCCTTGGATCGCACTTGTTGATCAGATTGGGATCTTGGGAGTTTGGAGGCCGGGTCGATGCTCCAAGCTCCTTGCTGTGTTCCTCAGGCTGTTCCTGAGCAGTTTTAGTGTTGT